TGCCAGAATACTTTGTTTGCCGTATGGAAATTCGACTCCAACACCTCACCGAACTTCTCCCAGGAACCAGCCTTCGTTTTTGCCACTGCTTTGGCCTGCCACCTTGCGTGCCTCGACATATCGCACGCGAGTAGGTGGCTCTTTCTTTCCAAGCCATTTTTTGAACGCTGCTTTCTCTTTAACTGCCAGTTGTACCTCTCGTGTCCACCATGAACGTCTTTGCTGACCTCCAGGCGGCAGGCCAACCCGTTTATATCCGAAGCATTCGGCGGAAGCCTCGAGTAGGCTTCTCTTAAACAGCTGCCACTCGGTTTCAACATCAGTTGTCATCGCTGGGATCTGTTCGAACCGTCGTGCAATGTTTGGAAATTTCGCTCTCGTGTCCACCGAAGACAGCGTTTCCCATCTGATTCTCCGGTTGCTTCTGCCACCAGATCTTCGCATGGTACTCCATTTCTTACTGCGCAGCGTGCCAACAACAAGGTGATTATCGGCTGATAGCTCTGCGCTTCTCGTAACGCGAATATCCATTACTGACCATCTTAAGTGAGACGTCACGATAATTACGAGTATCTACTTCTGTGCACAGGCTTCGGTGTACCACGTATACAGGTGCGCGCTTCAATGCTCGAAGAAGGCGTTCCTAGTAGATAGTCCGTTGTTTGCACAAACCGCAACAACTTCGTGCCGTTATTGTTGAGGTCGCTAGGGCCGTTTTTTTCCAATCACGCCGTTCCCCTTTTTCAACTTCTACTCTCGCATTAAAATCGCCCATCAGTATGAGGGACTCTGTATTCGGCACTTCGGACAGAGCACACTGCACTTCCTCAAGAAAGGTCTCGTATTCTCCCTCCAAATTGGGCTCACAGACCTGTGTGAAGGTCAACGTTTTAACCTGTTGTAACTTCAGTCATAGGATTACCACCCTTTCGCTGATACGCTTCCATTGAATGATTCTATCAGCAAGATTGGATTTTACCAGGACACCAACACCAGCCTGAGCGAGCGTCGTGATATTGACACCTGAGTCGAATAGTTTCCATTCGTTGAGGTTCAGGAGTCCAGAGCCTTTGCGCTTCGTTGACGGAAGTCCGACAATGTCGAGTTGGTTCTTTATGACCTCATCAATTAGTCCTTGTTTTTTCTCTCTGAGTGAGGGTATATTCCAATTTCCGATTGTAAGCTCTCAACTGGCAGTGTCTCTTTTGTGGAGCCTTTCTGTCGTTCTATAAGGGCATTGCGCTATCTACCTGCTCCTTTTAGAACGGGTAGCGACTGATGTCTTCGTCGTCGTTCCATCGGTCTTCTTCAGCCGCTGTTGTGCAACTGCGCCCTCCGCTGGCTGAGGACGATGAGCAGGTTTTAAACGCCGAATTTTCGCGGTCTGCTTCAGACCCTAAACAGCCTTCTTGGCGCTTGGTTACCCCAGCCACGACCGAGGCGGTATGATACTCGATGGCGTTAATATCATAAGTGGCAGGTGGCGAACTTTTACGGAGACTTCGCCACGGTCTCCAACCCTCCCTCTTGCTCAGCCGGGCTTGGGACCGGTATTGGTGGAGATTAGAAGTGTATATAAGTGTTACACATAGCTGAGTGTTTGTTTACTTGACGTTCAACGTAAAGCCCTCTTTTTTGTCTTGGAGTGGTAAGGACTAAACTGAAACGTTTGTCGTTCTTTCACAACGTTGAGAAAATACGAATATGACTTTGCGAGAAATAAATTTGGCCACACTATGTAATAAATACCAGGATGTCTTTATTCGAGTCACTTTATTGTTATTCTGGACTCTGTGTTTTTCAGTGCAAGCAGCTTCGCATGTGACATGCATTTTGTTCAGAATGATTCATATTGAAAAGTGGAATTTTATGACTTGGTTAATTATTGCTCTCTTTTACACAGTTTAGTTGAATTATGCAGATATGTTTTAACAAATGGATAGCGTATTTGTATAAATCCATTTTATTTAAATCTTACATACTAGAAGCTGCTTACTGTGATTTTTGCTATAATTCAAGTTTGCTTTTGAATTTTGGCTTTTTTGGAGTTCGTATTTGGGATAATAATTGATAATAATATGAGACAAGTATTAATAATTCATTTTTGTGACATCTTGTTTAAGAGTTTACTGTTTGTATTCTGTTAGAACCAAGTTTTATCTGTATATGCTTTTTGTTTCTGGTAATGGCATTCTTCATGGAAATTTTTTGATTTTGTGAACCTTTCTTATACCGTTTCATGGCGAAGATATTGTGTATTACATTGGGATTGAAAAATTTCTTTGCATCACTTAAATGCATAACTTTTAGTGTGTTTTGCTTATTGGCGCTTACAACGTAATCGCGCAGATCACGTCTATTTTCTTTCTTCTGTCATACGCCGGAGTCAACATTGCCTGTCTGGCACTCGATTTAACTTCGGCACCTAACTTCAGGTAATTTTTTTGGGTCTCGTGTTTTTGTTCGTAATTTTTCATGTTATAATTTTAGTTATATGGTATGTTGATGTTTAGTGTAGTATGGTATGGTTATTTAGTATGTTTGTATTTTATTCAGTATTATGAAGTACACATCAGTATACTTATTATGATTCCTTGTGATTAGTCGTAACCGCTCATGATTAAGCTATTATTTAATATAGTTTCAAATCTAGACATTTTATAAACTTTTATGCAAAGATTATTTCAGGCTTCTTTGCGAACAATACATATTTAGGTGGTAACAGCTTAGAATTTAGTTAATGATTTGTATGAATTCCTGAGTTTTTTGGGACAGGATGATGCTGAGACGATCAACCTCATCAGAAGCAAAGCTTTTGTGTATTTTGTACGAGAGCAACCACTCGTTACGCTCTGTAAGTAAATAGAGCACCTGGAGAAGTTAAAGAATTTTGAGTATGCTATTAATTTTAATGGTAATATAATGATTATGACTTCTGTTTTGTGACCATATGGTGTCATAATCTGTCTTCATATAGGCCGAATTTCAAGTACTTCAGTGTGCACACATCGTTTCTTGGTTTCATTGGCTGTATCGCCATGATGTTTTTCATTAACTCGGTGTCGTCCGGCATTGCGATCATCTTGCTTCTGTTGTTGCTAATCGGTCTACATTACGGAGCTCCGATGCCGGCCAGCTGGGGGTCCATCAGTCAAGCGTTGATATTTCACCAGGTCAGAAAATACCTACTTATGTTGGATTCGCGCAAGGAACACGTTAAGTTCTGGCGACCTCAAATTCTGTTGCTCGTCGCAAATCCAAAATCGTGCCTTCCACTAATAGATTTCGTGAACGACTTGAAAAAGTCTGGTCTGTACGTGTTGGGTCATGTTAAAGTGATCAGCGATAGTGGCCTTAACAGACCGATCGATCCGGTGCAGGAGGATATGCCGTACTGGCTGGGTCTCATCGATTACCTCAAGATCAAGGCGTTCGTCGAGATTACCGTCGCCGCGTCGATCAGGGACGGTATCCAGCATTTGGTACGACTGAGCGGTATTGGCGCCATGAAGCCTAACACCGTCATGCTCGGCTTTTACGACAGCACACCACACTTGAATACGTTCGAAAAGGGCAAGTTATTGCGGAACATCAAATTTGCCAAGTTAGAACGAGCCGAAGTAGTCGAGTACTTCACAGCACAGGACTTCGACCCGTTTGCCAGTGCCGCAATCCTGCCATCATCATCAAGCAGTTCTTTGTCGAATGAGAGCGACTCAGCCACTAAGCGGCTGACGGTACACGAGTACGTGTCGATCATCAAGGACATCATCAAGATGAACAAGAACATCGGCCTAGCAAAGGGCTTCCATCGCTTGGACAAGGAAGTGCTCCTTAAGTCTTCCGGTTACAAATGCGTCGACGTCTGGCCGGTGGACCTGGTGCGGCCGGAAAACGCCAGCACCAGTTGGGACAACAGTTCGTTGTTCCTGCTACAGTTGGCGTGCATCCTGAGCATGGTGTCGCGGTGGAAGACGCGAATCATGTTACGCGTGTTTCTGTGCGTCACTTCGTTGCAGGACATGCACCATAAGGAGGTGCAGCTAAAGGAGATGCTGAGTCAGTTGCGCATCCGGGCCAAGTCTATCCTACTGCCTTGGGACCATGTGATTTGTCATTTGATGAAG